AAAGACAAAGTATCTTGACTAAATCCAGTGAGAATAGATACTATACTGAGCTCCAGCTAATATACCTGTGATAGATCAAGTGCTTTGGAGACACCCAAGCAAAATCTTCTTATAGCTAAAAAAATATGTGCAACTTTTCTTTAGGCATGGAGAAAATATCCAGAGCTTTTTCCCCTCTTTTTCCCTTCTTTCCTTCCCTTCTTTTTCTACAGAACGTCATGATGAATGGACTTGCTCTTAGGAAAATACTTGATGATTACCAATCAAAGTTTAAATTAAAAGCAGCTTGCTTCCGAGTGGGGAGAAAAAAAGTGCTCAATTTATTCCATAAAACTTTATGTACACAGCAGCAAATGGCCATGAACTTAATGGCCATAATACCATGTCTACCGAGTAATTTTTATTACAATTTATAGCAAGATTACACATATTCCAGTTTTCAGGCCTTTATGGAGATTTAACAGGACATTGCAGCTTAAGAATATTCTCTGGTGCAGCCTCTGAAAAATGGGTTCCAGCTCTCAGGCTTACATTTTGTCACTTTCCATCTTAGCTTTCTGAAGTTCTCGAGATCATCAGTATCCTTCTCTCCATCAGGTTGTGTTTGCAGTACCTCTGCACCAAGACCTTGTCTGTGGGTGTCATGGGTTCCTATCAGCCATAAAGACCCATAGGAAGAAAAAAAAAGAAGATAACCTACACATAATTCAAACACTCATCTATGGAGATCATTTTTTACTCCACAAAAATCTGAAGCCCTTTTTTCATTTTGAGTGGAATACTGCTAAATTCACACTTATTTACAGGAAGCTGAATTCTTGAGAGTGTCAAGACCTAAATCACATCAAGTATCTAATTTATAACCGATTCACCCTGGAACATAAAGCAAAGCCAGAGGGAAGAAAAGCAATCACAACTTTGAGCAGCACACGATGTAAGGGCTCAACGTGCAGCTTTTCAGTCAAGGCTGTGCTGAAAATGTCTTGCAAAACCTGGCGATATTTTCTCAGCTGACGTCACTCCCAGTTTTCAAAGCTGGGCTTTGTGAATATCCCCACTAAAAGTGAGTGATTAGTAAACATTCTGTGACATCACGCCATCTGGGCCAATAGGGATCACTGCACCCAAACATTTTATACGGAAATAAGTCTTTAGCCCAAATATATGATCTGCCTCAAAAGAGTTCCCAATGTATCAAGTGCACACGAGGAGAACATGATTGTGCTGGTTATATTTCTGTCCCCTTGTGAGAAGCTCATATAGGTGTCTAACAAGGGTACAGTAGATGAAAGATTAGCCAAGTTCTCAATATAAATTGAGTATCTGTGGATGGCAGGCGGAACGTAAAATTTATCCTGGGGAAAAATAAAATTTCAGAGGATCTTTAAGAGGTAAACACTGGTCTTTAAGAGACATACCGGTGATCAGATCTTTTTCACTTGGATGTTCTGACCCAGCTCCCCAAACATGACAAACCCTCTGATGTGAACTCCAAAAATTTCTTTATTAGGAACGCTGGCAGACCTGATAAAAAGTTTCTGTCACGGGCTAACAAGTCTGGCCGGCCAGGAGATGAAGAGTTGTCTGCCACATATATTCATCTCTGCCTTTTATCCCCAGAGCTAAGGTGGGGCTTCGCTAGCAGGGGTGGCTCTTCCATCCCAAGGATCAGCCCATAGATTTCCACTGCTCTCCTCTCCTCTGCCTTCTGTGCATCTGCGCATCAGGCCCTGGACCCAGCTGTTCCTCCTCTTCTTCATCAACCACCTCCAGACCTGGGAGCTGTTGACTCTCCATCTGAGGGCTGATGGATGGTCCAGGCTCCGCCTCTGACTCTCTCTCTCTCCCCCCCACCCCCCCCTCTCTCTCTCTCTGCCAGCTCCATTCTCTCTTCCCCCTCGGAGCTCTCAGGTTGCCTTGATGCTCACCCTGATTCCCAGGCCTCCTCCTTCTCTTCTGATTCAGCTGCTGGAGGGGCCGGTGGCCGACAGGATACAACATTGGGAGGAACTAAGAAAATGGAGATTTGTGTCTTCCTGCAGTGCATGGGATAATTTTGGACAAATTCTAATGGGATGTCACAGTCACAGCGCACCGGTGTTCTCAACACAAATCTTCCACTGCCTGTTATAAAGTCAGGATTATATGTCCAGAGACCAGAAGGAATTCAAATAATCTTTGTGCATTGTAAAGCTGCACTTCCCAAAGAGGGCCAGGAGTTGAGAAGCAGAGGTGGTATTCAGCAGGTTCTGACCAGTTCTGGAGAACCGGTAGCAGAAATTTTGAGTAGTTTGGAGAACCGGCAAATACCACTTCTGACTGGCCATCTATTCTCTGCCTCCTGAGTCCCAGCTGATTGGCTGGGTCTTCTTTGGTTGCCCTGCACAGGAGAACGGAGCTGGAAAGCAGGTTAGTGGAGTGGGGAGGGAATGGGATTTTGCAGTAACTTTCCCCCAGGAGTGGGGAGGGAATGTAGATTTTGCAGTATCCTTCCCCTGCCACGCCCACCAAGCCACACAACACCCACCACACCCACAGAACCAGTAGTAAAAAATGTTGAATCCCACCACTGTTGAGAAGGAAAATAAATTCTGAAAATTTGGGAATACATTTATAAAATACACAACTGCTTGCTAGTAACAGCAAGAACAGCAGTATATAATCATAATCACGGTGAAAATTAACATGAAGGCAAATGAAAAACAACTTCAAGATTGTTACATATACTTTCTTTTGACTGATACTCTTAAAGCAGATCTTTTTTTCTTGGCGTGCTGGATTTTATTAAAATATAGCATGAGATCCTGGTTGAAATTACTTTACTCTCTACTCCTGGATGGTGCTCACAGTGAGAAAAAGTAAAGAAATGTATGGAAATATACTCCCATATCTCTGTTTATTTTTTGCACAAGGAAGAAAACCTCTAAGAGCAACCCAAAAGTGTTTTTTTTTTTTCAAAAGGCAGTTGGATAACCTTGGGTTTGTTTTTCCTTTGAAAATGTTTTGCTTCTCATCCAAGAAGCTCCTTGAATGAAAAGCAAACCGTTTTCAAAGAAGAAGAAAAAAAAACTAAGGAAGTCCAGTTGCCTTTTAGAAAAAAAGCACCTTTGTGACAACGGTGACCAGGGTGATTGAGAATGACACATAGAATGACTCTGAGAATGACACATCAGGAATCACACCCACAAAACCAGCATGCCTGCAAGGTTCACCCATTTTGTGGCACACCAGTAATGTTCAATAAAATGTCCATCAGATTTTTGTCCTACCATTTGGTGGACATCTGGTGGACTGCATACATGCACAGGTCCTTTCTGCATTTTTAAAGCAGATGGAGGTTATAAGTTCAGATCTCCAATTCTACTCTTCCTGCTCAAGAATCTACCAAGCCAGTCTCAGAATGCCATTTTCTCCCTGTTGGTTGGTGTTTTCCTATGCAGGTGCAGGACCTGACATCATTAGTTACCATGTTGGATTTGGCCAAATGTCCAAATCCGTTGAAGTCATTTTGATTTTGACTTTTTTTTTTTTGCTGCTTACACAATATGCCTAAATTTCCATTTTCCAATTTGATGACAATTCCTTCCGTCTACCAGGTAATTTTTAAAGATAATCCATGGGCATTCTACATCAAGTGCATAGTGACATTGTGGTGCAAATGCCATACTTCTATCCTTGCATCCAACACATTTTGCATTTGGCCTCGCTACTCTTCCAACCAAGAGAAGGTGCGATAGCTCAGTGGTTAAGATGCCGGACTTATCACTGGAAAGCTGGCGGCCTGGATTTGAGACCCAAGTGCCAGACGATGGGCGAGTTCCTGTCCTCGGCCCAACTCCTCCCAAGGTAACAGTTTGAAAGTGTGTAAATGCAAGTAGATAAATAGGTACCACTTTGGGGGGGAGGTGACAGTGCTCCATGTTTCATCACATGCTCCGCACTGCAGCACATCATGTTGGCCACATGACTGATGAAATATCTTCAGATAGCGCTGGTTCAGTGGCCTAGAAACCGAGATGAACACTGTCCCTAAAATTGTCTAAGACTAGCAGAGTGAAACTTGCAGGGACTCCTTTTATTCCCCCCATGGAGGGTTTACGCAGAGCACCCACTATTCTGAAACTAGTGCAAATCACAATTTATTTCTTCTAAAGACAACATTGTGACCAGGCATGCACATACATTTTCTCACAACAATTCTCACCACAAATCTGTAAGATAAATCAATTCTATTAGCCCCAATGCAGAGGCAAGGAAGGGACAAGCCAGGAATTTATCTAAGGCACTGAGGGAATTCACAGCAAATGGCTGGAGATGAATTCAAAAAGTTCCACTTGGAAATTGAGTTATAAATACTCTGGTATATCATCTGTGCGGCTCATTAGCTAGTCTCTCCAATAACTAGCCCAAAAGGCAATTAATACACATTCGTCTTTGGTTGGTGAACAAAATTGAGAATCAAGAACAAAATTGAACTAAAAAATGGAGGAAGGAGACAATCGAGCAAGGAATAACATTAAGGGAGGATATAGCTGAAGATCAACCTTCCTTATACTACTTAGAGGACCCTGACTAGTTTGAGAGTTGGAATACCTAAACATAAAAGCAATATACTCAAGTAGAGGTTCTTAGTGGATAATAGCACTCTACTGTATGTGAATGTGGAGAGACATGGAGCCCGGCCCATCTGCTGGTATGTCAGCTACTTCCAGAAACATCAGGAGTGGGATTCTACTGGTTTGGCCTGGTTCAGGTGAATTGGTATCTCCAAGGATCAGCTGTGAACAAACCAGTTTGCTCTGATGATCAGCTGTTTGGCCCACCCACCCACCCCGGCTCTAGTCTGTACTTTATATCCTGGTTTTCAAGCTCAGCTGATTTCCTGCGGCACAACGGAAGAAGAAGACTCTTAGGCTAGTTTTCAAATGATGATTGAATCGGAATGATTCAGGAAGCATCCTTTAATTGTGCTACTCTTATTTTGTAAGAGTTCTTCTTACCTTTGACATGACTTCTCCCGTCTTCTAGTAGTGGTACTACTATAGTGTTGTTGACATTCCCTGGTGATCTCACCGCAGTGTAGACCACCGGTACCGACTGCACCACCACAGGAATCCGGTGGACATGACTCATTTTGTTGGTCTGTAGGTTCATGGGGCTCGAAGGTGGAACCGGGTGGATTATGTGCAAAAATTGTTGCCCTCCAACACCAGAGGCAGATGCCACAAGAGGACCTGGAGTTAATACCGATGGGGCCGATGTTGCCGATGCCACTGAGGTTATGACCGTTGGGGACGAAGCTGGCCGACTAGAAGACGTTGAAGTTGAAGAGGGGGACAACGCAGAGGCTGTGATTGATACTGGTGAAGACGAGGTGGCAAGAGGGGAGGATCGGGCTTTGTTGATGGACAAGTCCACTGGCTCTGTCTGCGTCTGGAAATGATCCGTGCACAAGGCGTCTTCTTCTGGCTCTGTCTTCATGGTGTTCAGCAAGAGGGGCACAGCTTCCATATCTGGGTAGTTATGAACGTTGGGAGACTATGGAGAGAAAAGAAGGAAAACAGGTCAAAACAGCTCTTTATTCAGTAGATCAGTACAACTAGAGGTGATATTCAGCAGGTTCTGACCAGTTCTGGAGAACCGATAGCAGAATTTTTGAGTAGTTCGGAGAATCGGCAAACACCACCTCTGACTGGCCCCGCCCCCACCTATTCTCTGCCTCCCAAGTGCCAGATGATCGGCTGAGTCTTCTTTTGTTGCCCTGCACAGGAGAATGGAGCTGGAAAGCGGGTTAGTGGGGTGGGGAAGGAATGGGATTTTGCAGTAACCTTCCCCCTGGAGTAGGGAGGGAATGGGGATTTTACAGTATCCTTCCCTGCCATGCCCACCAAGCCACACCCACAGAACTGGTGAGAACAAACAACCAATGGAACAGCTTGCCCTCAGAAGTTGTGGGAGCGCCATCACTTGAGAACTTCAAGAAGAAGAGATTGGTAGTAAAATCCTTTGAATCCCACCACTGAGTACAACCCAGCAACTTGTCTGTCTGACAGCTCTCCCTTTTATAGGGAGCTGTCAGATGGCTCAACCAATGAGATTCAACTATTTTCCCGCCGGAATGGTGGACCTGAGTGAAGCCTACATTCCTTGGCTTCACTCCCTTATTAGAGTATTCAATACCCACTGAAAAACCTCTCAGAGACCAAATGGAACATTTGGTCACACTGCCACATCTTATATGGTTTGCCAACTTGAAGATGTGAGCCATTAGTGCTCAACTTTGCTTCTTCTCTGTTTCAACAGAAGCTTAGTACACAAGCAACTAGAAATCTTAAGCTACTACTACAGGTAGTCCTCAGCTTATGACTGCAAAACTGAACCCAAAACTTCTGTTGCTAAGCAAGGCAGTGAAGCAAATGTTGCCCCATTTTATGACCTGTTTTGCCACAAGTGTTAAGTGAGTCACTGCACTGTGTCACCGAACTGGTAGTAACACCATTTGAATCCCACCACTAGGATGCTCCAACAATTGTAAGTGTAGGAAACAGTCGTAAGTCTCTTTTTTCAGTGGCCTTGTAATTTAGAATGATCACGAAATAAACTGTTGTAAGTCAAGGAATACCTGTAGTTTATTTTTCAATGAATTTCTTTGCACAGAGAAGTCTCAATTGGTCTGAAATTATTGTGGTTGTACGAACTACTTTTAAAACCACATTATACTTGTTATTCCCCTGTAGGTTTACAGGCCAGGCCTTGTTATCCAGATCACAAACATTCTCTGCAACTCCATTGAAAATTAGAGTCATTTTACTTTCACCCCGATCTGACCATCATATTGGGACTGAATTGCTTTGTCCTATTCAGGGGGAGGTCAATTCCTTATTCGATATATTATAGCCGTTAAGCGTCAATTTAAGGCAAATGCTTTGAAAGTGGGAAAGGAAGGAATCTGGGAGCGGATTTTCATTGGAGAAAAATGCAACAGAGGTGGCAATCACATACCACGTGAATCGTTTGGTCTTGTCCTCTGCACAACCTGAAGCTTACCTTAAAAATTTCAGTAAAAATGACAGGTAGCGATGGAAGGAGATGGGATGGGCCCTTTAGCTTCCATGCCAGGAATGTAGCACATTTCACTGACCTAAAGGTGCTTTTCCAAAAGGTAACTAGACTTTCTTGGGGGAGAGGGGAATTCCCCTTGAAAATCTTTTGCTTCTCATCCAGGAAGCTGCTTCTTGGATGAGAAGTGAAACATTTTCAAAAAACAAAACAAAACAAAACAAAAGACTAGTTGTTGTTTGTAAAAGCACCTTTGGGACAACCATGACCTGGATGACAGAGAATTTCCACAGACGTTCATTGCCTAAGATGCAATGAAGGGGGTTGCTCCAACCCCCAAAATGCACAGGAAGACAGTAGAGGTGGACCTCAGCTTTGGAAGGGAGCTGAAGGTAGTACGATAAAGAAATCCATGCACGTGGATTGTACTTTGTATGGAAGTGTGCATTCACACACATATATACAGACTCAATTTATGATGTCACACCTCCTGATTTAGAACCATTGGCAAAGTATGGTTCTAGATCCCAATGGAGGGCTGGAAATCACAGTTTGTAACAACTCAAAAAAAAAAAGAGGAAAATCCATATCCTGCATCCCACATTCTGACATGGAGCTCAGGACCTTCCTTCAACCTCAGCTTCTCAGCTGCCCAGCAAAAAATCTGGAAACCAAATCCAATCAACAATTCCAGATATGTTACGTCTTATTTCCTAAGGGTAAAGCAGGGCTGTCAAACTCGATTTCACTGAGGGCCGCATCAGAGTTGCGTTTGAGTGGGGTGGGCATGGCCAGCTCAAAGTCATTCATAATGGGGTCGCCTGTGGAAACCCAAGTCCTCTGCCAGCAAAAACGGGCTCCCGAGTTCTGTTTTTGGCTGTGACAGCCACCTGCAACCCTCTGCCAGTGAAAACAGAACTCGGAAGGGCTGCATGCAGCAGCCCTCCCTAGCTCCATTTTCACTGGCAGAGGCCCTGCAAGCTGGTCCTTTGCTGTTTCCAGGGCAGCCCTGAGGACCAGGTCTAAGCACCCCGTGGGATGCAGTCCAAGGGCTTTGAGTTTGACACCCCTGGGGTAAACCAAGGAAGTTAAGTACAATAAGAGAATCAAATGCTTCATCAGGACACTTCCCCTTTCGCTAAGAAATCCAGAGGAGAAAAATAGTAATAAAGAAGGATTTTACCTATTTCTTTGCTCCCTGAGTGGAGCAAATTGTCAGGAGAAGAAAAGCGCAGGTTTCATAAATTATCATTATTGGGTCAAAAATGAAGGTGAGCACATCAGCTGTATCTACAACTAGACAGATTTAAGCCCGGCTCCCCAGAGTCCGAGCTGCAGTTACTTTTCATGTTGACATATGCTTCTGATGTCCAAATTACTTTGCAGTGCAAATTAGTACTGTCAAATCTGGATATATTACAAATTAAATGGGAGAAATTTATACTTCCTTTTTGCCTACATCGAAAATAATATCTTAACTTTGAGTATACACATAATTGCGTATTACAGCGTTGAAAATTTAATGGGATAAAGCCGAAAGCTGTGAAATGCTGGCTGTTTGACCAAAATGATTTGGTGTCTCACGAATGGGCTTCAATAAATCAAGCTCCTCATGACCCAATGTGATACAATATGATTACTTTCAAAGGGAAGCAGAGATGAAAGACGGCAGCTTGCATTTGGCACAATGACATGACAGTCTAAGGGCCTCCTGGTGTACCATTTTCTGAGAAGGTGATTTGTTTTGTTTATTTAGTTTAGCTTGTCAAGCATGTATGAGAAAACTAGTATAAGTATGAACATAACATATAAACATGTATAAGTATACATAAGTATACACATAATAATTGAGTACCAATACATGGGAAGAGTAGGACAGGGATGTTAGGCATGCTGGTGCGCTTATGCATGCCCCCTTACAGACCTCTGAGGAATGGAGTGAGGTCCACGGTAGACAGTTTAAGGTTAAAGTTTTGGGGTTTGAGGATGTAACAAGAGAGTCAGGTAGTCAGTTCCAGGCATTGACCACTGTTGCTGAAGTCGTATTTTCTGCAGTCGAGTTTGGAGTTTTGTATCTTGCCTGGGATCTAGCCCATCATGAGAAAAACATATAACAGATAGCATTTAGCAATAGCATTTAGACTTATATACCACTTCACAGTGCTTTACAGCCCTCTCTAAGCTAATCAAGGCTGTTTCTCTCCTTGATGTTTCCATCCATTGTTTCTTGTTTAATTTCAGAATGGGATTGGATGAGAAATTCAATGAAAATTTATTCTTTGAGGGGTCATATGGGTAGCATCTCAAACCTCAAGATATTGTAACACAGCCAATGACCCAGGAGATTACAGCACAAGACCCAGGATGTTACAACAATAGAACTCAGAAGGTCATCACACAGCCCATTACCCAGGTCGTTACAACCCAGGAGGCTGAAAGACACACAGCCAGTACCTCAGCCACACAGGTTCTTACGAAAAAGCAAACCAATCTGCAAACATCGACTCCATCAACCAATCAAGAAATAACAACATAGCCAACCAGCCCGCTTACAATAGAGCCAGCACACCACACCTCCCCACCAGTATTTATAGAGAGACGGCAGCTCCAATTACGCTTTGCTCGCAGAAGCACGAAGCCGAAAGCACCAGCCTGAAGATGGCGAGTGGGACCTCGTCAAAACATCGCCAAGATACTCTCAATCTTACACGGGAAAAGAGACCAGAACACGCCAAAACCTACATGCCTGTACCTGTGAAAATCTACAAATACACACACACACACACACACACACATGTTTTCTTAAATTTTCGCGGGTACTTACATGTATGGTATTCAGCTTTGTTCGGGTATTTTCCCAGATGAACACAATACAGAAGCCTGATGATGGCAGATGAGATTCTGCCAAAATGTTGCTACAACTTTAAAAAAGCACAACTATAATGACATGGGAAAATACCCGAACAAAGCTGAATACTATACATACATACATACATACATACATACATACATACATACATACATACATATATATGGTGTATGTATGTATGTATGTATGTATAGTATTCAGCTTTGTTCGGGTATACTATAGTACTATTCAGGTATAGTAACTAACTGCTGAACTGAGTGTAGTTCCGAAAGGAATTCCTGAGTCTCGGTAACAGGGGAATCTAATAGTGTCAACGGAAAGAACCGCGGATGGTACCCCACATTAGCATAAAATGGTGTCATTTGGGTGGAGGTGTGGTGGGAGTTGTTGAATGCAAACTCCGCCAGAGGGAGATAATCAACCCAGTTGTTCTGCCGTTGGTTTACAAAACAACACAAATATTGCTCGAGAATGCCAATGACCTTCTCCATCCCACCATCAGTTTCTGGATGGTGCGCCGATGACAAGCACACCTGCACCTGTAACGCGGTCATCAGGTTTTTCCAAAATTGGGCTGTAAATTGTACACCGCGGTCAGAAACTACCCTGT